TCTCATTCAGTTCTGCTCTGATCTTAGTTATTTATTGTCTTCAGGTAGGTTTTGAGTTTTTTTGATCTTGCTCCTCTAGCTCTTTCAATTTTGAAAATAGGGTGTCAGTTTTGGATCTCTCCTTTCTTCTCATGTGGGCACTTACTGCTATATATTTTCCTCTAGAGACTGCTTTTTTTTTTTTTTTTGGAAGGGAGGAAGGGAGGAAGGCAGGAAGGGAGGAAAGGAGGAAGGGAGGGAGGGAGGAAGGAAGGGAGGGAGGAAGGGAGAGAAGGGAAGGAAGGAAATCAGGCAATGAGAGAGACATTGCCAAGCTGGGTCTAGAGGTCTACAAGTTGATTTCTTTTTTTCTTTTTTTTGAGAAAAGGAAAGAAAAGAAAGGAGTGAAGAAGAGGAAGAAAGAGGAAGAAGAAGAGGGAGAGAGAATGGAAATGTTGCTTTATTCTAAAAAAATGGGTATTAATAATGGCCAATCAATATTTTATTTAAACCTATGAGTAGGTGTGATGTGGTATTGACAAGAATGTATATTTTGTGTGTTTAAAGTGGAGAGCTCTACAAATATTTATTAAGTTTACTTGTTCTGGATCTGAGTTCAAGTCCTTGATATCTTTATTAATTTTCTGTCTCATTGAGTCTACATCTCTATGTATCTGGTTGTTAGGATCATTAGCTCTTGTTGTTGCATTGATCCTTTTACTGCTATATCTTTGTTGCTTTAAAATCTATTTTACCAGATACGAGAATTGCAACTCCTGCTTTTTATTTATTTGTTTATTTTTGCTCTCCATTTGGTCGGTAAATCTTTCTCCATCCCTTTGTTTTGAGTCTTTGTGTATCCTTGCATGTGAAGTGGATTTGGATGTAGCATACCGTTGGGTTTTGGCTGTATCTTTTGGTTGGGGGATTTAGTCGATTTAGATTTAGGATTACTGCCATTTGATGTTAACTGGCTGTTTTATCCATTTGTTGATGTAAATTCTTCTTTATTTTGATGCTTTTTACTTTTTGGTATATTTTTAGAAAGGCTAATACTGGTTGTTTCTTTCTATGTGTAATGCTTCTTTCAGAAGCTCTTGTAAAGCAGGCCTGGTGGTAATAAAATCTCTGAGTACTTGCTTGTTCATAAAAGATTCTATTTTTCCTTCAGTTGTGAAGCTTAGTTTGGCTGGATATGAAATTCTGGGCTGAAAGGTCTGTTCTTAAAGGATGTTGAATATTGGCTGCCACTCTCTTCTGGCTTGCAGGGTTTCTGCTGAGAGATCTGCTGTAAGTCTGATAGGCTTCCCTTTGCAATTAACTTGACCTTTCTCTCTGGCTGCCCTTAGTATTTTCTCCTTTGTTTCAACCCTGGTGAATCTAACGATTATGTGCCTTCGGGTTGCTCTTCTTGAGGAATATCTTTGTGGTGTTCTCTGTATTACCTGGGGTTGAATATTGTCTTGCTTTGCTAGTTTAGGAAAATTTTCCTGAATAGTATCCTGAAGAATATTTTCCAGCTTGGATTCATTCTCTCCGTCGCATTCAGGTACACCTATCAAACGTAAATTTGGTCTTTTCATATAGTCTCACATTTCTTGGAGACTTTGCTCTTCCTTTTTTTTTCTTTTTTCTCTAATCTTGTCTTCTTATTTTATTTCATTAAGTTGGACTTCGACCTCTGATATCCTTTTTTCTGCTTGAACAATTCAAGTGTTTAAATCTATGCATACTTCTCAGAGTTCCTGTATTGTATTCTTCAGTTTCACTAATTCACTTATATTCCTCTCTAAGTTGTCTATTCTCATTAGGATTTCGTCAAACCTTTTTTCAAAGTTCTTAGTTTCTTTACATTGGGCTCCAACATGTTCTTTTAACTCACAGAAATTTCTTACTATCCATCTTCTGAAGCCTGATTCTGTTAATGGGATGAGCTCATTATCCATCAAGCCTTGTTCCCTTGTTGGTGAGGAACTGTGATCCTCTTTAGAGGGAGAGGCATTCTGATTTTGAGTATTCTCAGCCTTTTTATGCTGGTTTCTTCCCATTATTGTAAATTTATCCACTTGTCATCTTTGTAATTACCAACTTTCAAATTAGGTCTCTGAGTGGACGTCCAAGTTGTTAAGTCCCAGGGTCGAAATATGAGTAGCCCACTGCACAGGCCAAAACAGCAGCGTTAAGACTGATGGTGCTTTTCTGCCCAGGAATCTCCAGTCTGGCTTTCTTCTTGAGTTCGTAATAAGCGACTCTGCCTTCCAGGAGCTCCAAACCTCAGTCAGAAGGGAAACCAATCCCGTTTACTCTGCACCAAGAGCTGCAGTGCCAAGGTGCCGGCAAAACCACTGCAGCGGCGACCCGTGCAGCTCCTCCATTGGGAATCTTCTACTCTATGAGCAACCAAAATTTGTCTGAAAGTGTGGCGTCCTCTCCTTCTCTGCGCTTTCACTAGGAGCTTCAATCCTGAGATGTTAGCAATCGACCATCTAGGATCGTTCCCCTAGAGACTGCTTTAAATGTGTCCCAGAGATTCTGGTATGTTGTATCTTTATTCTCATTGGTTTCAAAGAACTTTATTTCTGCCTTCATTTCATTGTTTATCCAGTCAACATTCAAGAGCCAGTTGTTCAGTTTCCATGAAGCTGTGTGGTTCTGAGTTAGTTTCTGAATTCTGAGTTCTAACTTGATTGCACTGTGGTCTGAAAGACTGTTTGTTATGATTTCCATTCTTTTGAGTTTGCTGAGGAGTGATTTACTTCCAATTATGTGGTCATTTTTAGAGTAGGTGTGATGTGGTGCTGAGAAGCATATATATTCTGTGGATTTGGGGTGGAGAGTTCTGTAAATGTCTATCAGGTTTGCTTGTTCCAGGTCTGAGTTCCAGTACTGGATATCCTTGTTAATTTTCTGTCTGGTTGATCTGTCTAATATTGACAGTGGAGTGTTAAAGTCTCCCACTATTAATGTGTGGGAGTCTAAGTCTCTTTGTAAGTCATTGAGAACTTGCCTTATGTATCTGGGTGCTCCTGTATTGGGTTCGTACATATTTACAATCGTTAGCTCTTCTTGTTGTATTGATCCTTTTACTATTATGTAATGTTCTTTTTGTCTCTTTTGATCTTTGTTGCTTTAAAGTCTATTTTATCAGAGATGAGAATAGCAACTCCTGCTTTTTTTTTTGCTCTCTATTTGCTTGGTAAATCTTCCTTCATCCCTTTATTTTGAGACTTTGTGTATCCTGGCATGTGAGATGGGTTTCCTGGATACAGCACACTGATGGGTTTTGGCTTTTTATCCAATTTGCCAGTCTGTGTCTTTTGATTGGTGCATTTAGCCCATTTACATTTAGGGTTAATATTGTTATGTGTGAATTTTATCCTGCCATTTTGATGCTAGCTGGCTGTTTTGCCCATTAGTTGATGCAAGTTCTTCATTTTGTTGATGCTCTTTACCATTTGGTATGTTTTTGGAGTGGATGGTACTGGTTGTTCCTTTCTATGTGTAGTGCCTCTTTCAGGAGCTCTTGTAAAGCAGGCCTGATGGTGACAAAATCTCTGAGTACTTGCTTGTTTGCAAAGGATTTTATTTTTCCTTCACTTATGAAGTTTAGTTTGGCTGGATATGAAATTCTGGGTTGAAAGTTCTTTTCTTCAAGGATGTTGAATATTGGCCCCCACTCTCTTCTGGCTTGTAGGGTTTCTGCCGAGAGATCTGCTGTGAGTCTGATGGGCTTCCCTTTGTGGATGAGCCAACCTTTCTCTTTGGCTGTCCTTAGCATTTTCTCCTTCATTTCAACCCTGGTGAATCTGATGATTATGTGCCTTGGGGTTGCTCTTCTTGTGGAATATCTTTGCGGTGTTCTCTGTATTTCCTGGACTTCAATATTAGCCTGCCTTGCTAGGTTGGGGTAGTTTTCCTGGATAATATCCTGAAGAGTATTTTCCATCTTGGATTTATTCTCTTCGTCACATTCAGGTACACCTATCAAACGTAGATTAGGTCTCTTCACATAGTCCCACATTTCTTGGAGGCTTTGTTCATTCCTTCTTGCACTTTTTTTCTCTAATCTTGCTTTCTTATTTTATTTCATTGAGTTGATCTTTGACCTCTGATATTTTTTCTTCTGCTTGGTCTATGTGGCTGTTGAGACTTGTGCATGCTTCGTGAAGTTCTCATGTTGTGTTTTTCAGCTCCTTCAATTCACTCATATTCCTCTCTAAGTTGTCCATTCTTGTTAACATTTTGTCAAATCTTTTTTCAAAGTTCTTAGTTTCTTTGTATTGAGTTAGAACATGTTCTTTTAGCTCACAGAAGTTTCTTATTACCCACCTTCTGAAGTCTGATTCTGTCATTTCATCACACTCATTCTCCATTCACCTTTGTTCCCTTGCTGGTGAGGAGTTATGATCCCTTGTAGAAGGAGAGGTGTTCTGGTTTCACGTGTTTTCCTCCTTTTTGTACTGGTTTCTTCCCCTGTTCATGGATTTATTCTACTGTCATCTGTGTAGTTACTGATTTTCAGATTGGGTCTCTGAGTGGATGTTCAGATTGTTGATGATAAATTTTTTGTGTTTCTTAGTTTTCCTTCTAACAGTCTGGCCCCTCTTCTGCAGGACTGCTGAGGTCCACTCCAGGCCCTACTTTCCTGGGGTTTACCTGCAGCAGCTGCAGAACAGTAAGGGTTGCTACCAGTTTCTTCTTCTGCTATCTTTGTCCCAGAATGATGTCCACCAACTCTCAGTCTGATCAGTCCTTTGTGAGGTGACTCTGGATATACAGAGGTCAGGAAGCTGCTTGAGGAGACAGTCTGTTCTTTATAGGAGCTCAAGTGCTGAGCTGTGAGCTCCGTTGTTCATTCAGAGCTGCTAGGCAGGTACATTTAAGTCTGCTGAAGCAGAACTCATAAATCCTTTTTTTTCTCCCATGTGCTCTGTCCCAGGGAGTTATGGCTTTATTTATGAGTATCCATTGTGCTGCTGCATTTGTTGTTTTCTTTCTTTTTTTTTTAGTGACACTTTCTTTGCTTTAATATTTGTTGTCTTTTTCTGCTTTTGAAATGAGCTCTCAATTACAGAATACCAAATTATACTCAAAAAGAGGGTGTAGAAAAAGCCAGCCATTGGTGCAGCATGGAGAAGCCCACAAGTAAGGACAGATAGCAGCAGCAGGTGGCGAGAGGTGGGAGGTGACGAAAGCAGTGGTTACAAATGTTCACAGGAAGCTAAAGCTATTCAACAGGTTGTGCCCTAATGTTTGCATGGGTTAGACTAGTTACTACCTTGTTGGGTGGCCTTAGTGTGTTTGGGTTCAGATTCTACACAGCAATACAGCTTCTTCCAGTTAAGAGTTCTTGGCTTGCACTGATCACAGCGTGATTGGAGTGTATTGGACCAGTCTTGTTATTTTTTCAAAATGCTGTCGTAGACCTGAGAGATGTATTGAGAGACTTAAGGAGCTCTACACTTCAGTGACAGTGTATAATTGGGGTTTCCTGGCTGGATACATAGCTCGGCCAAAATCCAAATGCCATTAGTGAGCTTCAGGGATTGGTACAGCATATCCTGCCCTTCCACATTCCTCTTGGCAATAGTATAAACATTGTTGTTTTGCAACTTGCTGGAAACAGTGTCAGCATTTAAATGACATTCCTTAATCTGAAAATGAAGTTCATTTTCATTGGGAATATCCTTCCATGTTGCAAGAAAGACCTGGCGCTCCATTTTGCTTTTTTCTACAAAAAGCACATTGAGTGGGATGAGGCAGCTGAAGTAGAAGACATCGGTATTGTTTTTCACAGCCACCTGCAGGTTATTCAGAGGTTCCATCTTCATGACTGGGCCCAAGGTGTTGAGAGGCAGGGAGACATCAATGCTCTGGTTTGGCATGAGTGGTGTATGGATGGCCAGAGGAGTGCTGGGGATGACACCAAAGCTATTTTTGTTAAACTGGATTGCAAAATCTGTCATATGCTGCAGAGCTTTATTGGTGAAGTTCATTTCCATATAGATGTGCCCTTGGCGGTGAGTAAATGTTCCTGAAATCTCCAAGCCTTTAGCTTTTACTGCAGGTAGCCAGACAGCCTTAGGAGCCACATATCCACTGGGTGCTATGCCTATCCCTGTAGAGAGTTCAAACAGGTCATTCAGTCCACTGCTGATGACAGCAGGTATAGGTGAAGGAGCAAAGGTTTCAGGCACTGATGATGGGATAAAGGATTGTCCTACTGCCGGACTTCCTCCAATGCCCCCGCCAAGCAGACTATCTAGTCCTCCTCCTAGGAGATCCACTGCTCCCATCTGCATGGAAGACACCTGTGGCACATTGACTGGGGGACCAAGGTCAAGGTTTAAAAGATCCCCTAGAAGATCACCTTGAGAGGGGATAACCTGAGGCTGTTCCAGGTTCATTGCAATGGTGGTGCCAACAGGGCTGTCACCTGCATCAGTGCTCCCATGATGAATTGGCAAGTGTTTACGATGGATTACATGACTTTCTTCCACAAAAGCATTGGGAGGCTTATGATACACAGAGGCCAAAGAACCAATGTGGCAAATTAGCTCATCCAGCAGAGTTGGCTCAGTAAGGTCTGTCTCCTCAGAGATCAGTGGCTTTTCAGACAAGACTACTTATTTAGCTGTGACAGGGTCAGTCCAGAGAAGACACCAGTAAATATAGCCCCAGTCTCAAAGGTCAGGATTATCAGAATCCTGTGATGCCAAACTCAAGACCTGCTGGACTAGCTCCTGTGTTTCTGATGGTTTCTTGAGAAACAGCTTCACTATGGCAGTAAGCAGAGTGAGCTGCACTTGGGTGCTTTCATCGTGAAAACCCTCCAGGAAGCTTTCTAGTAACTCATCTGCATTGTCAATTCTTTCAGCATATTCTCCCACAATCCAAATCATAGCTGCTCAAGCATCTGGCTCATCTAGTGGGTCTAAGTTCTCACATAGAGCGGCAATGATACTTTCATACTTGTTGGGGTATTTGCGGAAGATGTCCCTGATGACAACAATTGCTTCTTGGACTACATAATTCACTTTGGTCTGGATTAGATCAAGCAATGTGCTTACACAGCGCTCTGCAGATTGCTTCACCTTGATGGCACACCATCCAATGGCCCGCACAGCTTTTTGAACAAAGTCAACATCTACCTCTGTGGCATATTCCTTCAGTTCTGCCAGAACCTGAGCAATGTTGGCTTGAGATGCCAAATGAATCATGATGTCCAACTTCTCTCATTTAACATAGATGGGATCATTGTACTTCACAAAGAAGACTTTGATTTCCTGCTTCAAGATTTCAGGCCTTTTCTCGACAATTAAGTTGATGTTCCTTAGGGCAATGTACTGCACTTCTGGCTCCTCAGAAAGCAAAGTGACAAGTGGAGGGGCTAACTTCTTCAGCAGCATATTGTAGTAGTCAGAATCCTTAGGTAACAATTCTAGAAACTTCATTAGGACTTTTACCGCTGAAAGCACCACTGCTGAGTTGGCATGGGATAGCCAGGGAGTTACCCATTCACAGATACTCTGAGCCTCCCGATCATCTTTAGGGTTATAATTAGACAGGCAGTCGAAGATGAAAATCTGGACCCATTCAGTGCACTCATTGAGGGCTGTTAGCAGCTTATTGTTCTGTGGGTTCAGATCGAGTAAGTTGCTATTTGGGTGAGACTCACTGATTTCAGATAATGCTGCTACAGCATTAGCAACCACCATTGAATTTGCATTTGCTATGAGATCCCATAGAAAATCCAGAAATCCCTGATCTTTCACCATTTGGGCATTGATATCATGGAGTTTTGCCACACAGACTGCTGCTGTTTTCCGAACATATGGATCCTCATCCTTCAAGCACTTGTGGAGGGGCTCACAGAGATATTCTGTAATTTCTTTCTACCCAGATGCACCCCATGGTTCTGACTGCCAAAGCTCGAATCAAAGGATTAGGATCTTCACAGTCTTTCACAAAGCTGTTTACAGCCATGATGGCCATGTCTGGCTGACTCTTGGCATAGTTCATCAAGTAGAGATACACAAGTTTCTTCAGTTCCAGATTGTCGGTCTGCATACAGTTCACTACGTCTGGAAAGAGAGAGCTAACATCCTTCCCCACAGTCATAGCAGCAATCACTTTCTTCACAGCCTCCTTTCTCTTTTCTTTCTTTCCATTGTTGAGTTCAGCTTTTAGTTCAAATATTTCTCCTTTTTTATTGGTTGTGAAATACTTGGAGTCAGTCATGACTTTGGATCTTTAATGTGCACCGGAGCACAGCCCGAGTGGTGGTGTAATGGTTTCCTGCCCGTCATGATTCTTTTCTCACATTTTTGTTTTCAGGGCTGTCCTGCCCAGCAAGGAGGCAGCCTAGTCACTGTCTGCCTGCAGAGGCTTTGCTGAACTGCTGTGGGCTCTGCCCTGCTGCTGTGTGAACTTCCCTGCAGTCCTGTTTATATGGGTGTGGTTAGAACTGCCTTGGCAATGGTGGCCCACCTCTGTAATGGTGGACTCTCTTTGTTATGGCGGGTTGCCTCAGCAACAGCAAGCTGCCTCAGCAATGGCGGATTACCTCCATAGGGGTGGATTGCCTTGGTAATGGTGGACGCCCCTCCCCCACAGAGCTGAGCCATTCTGGGTTTAGCTGTGCTTGCTGTGAAACTCTCAACCCTGAGCGTTTCCAATTGCTGTTTTTTTTTTTTTGTGGGGGTGGGACCCACCTAGCCTGATCACCTGGCTCCCTGCCCCAGAGCCTTTTATTTTTTTTAAGTAGAACAGTTGACTCTCTGCCAAGTGTTCCAATCGCCTACTGAAAGGGCACCAGGATCAGTGTGATTTCCCATTCGGCAACCCACTGTGCCAGCTGAAACAGTGGCGCTGCCCAGGAATCTCCTGGCCTGGCTTTCTGTTTAATCAGAAGAATGGGTGACTCTTCCTTCTCGGAGCTCCATTTGCCAGCTTAAAAGGGGAACAAGACCAGTGTATTTTGTATGTAGAACCGCAGCACTGGGGCACCAGCAAAACAGCTGTGCTGGCCAAAACAGCCGCACTGGCGACCCGTGGGTCTCCTCCGCCTGGGAATCTCCTGGTCTGTGGACAATAAACATCCATCTGGAAATGCGGCCTCCACTCACCCTCGGCATTTTCACTGGGAGCTGCAATCCTGAGCTGCTCCTAAGGGGCCATCTTGGATCTTCCAACTATCATTTCTTACAAGTCACTAAGGGTATACTTCTATAATGTTTTAAAAATTAGAGAAATGCAGAGTGAGAAGTTTTCCCATGCTGTGGGCTAACAATGGACACCCACAAGGATGTGCAACCTCCAAAGCAGGAACCAATAATATATATCTGTGGAGAATGTCACACAGAAAATCAAATAAAATCTAGGGATCCAATTAGATGCAGAGAATGTGTATACAGAATAAAGTACAAGAAAAGGACTAAAAGATTGGTCATTTTTGATGCTCGATGAAACCTGGGAGTTCAGAGGAATGTTTTCACTTATACTTTCAGGGGATATGTTCCAAGACCCCAGTGGACTCCTGAAAACTCACATAGTACCAAACTTTTATACACTGCTTTTTCTATATATACATACCTACAATAAAGTGTAATGTGTAAATTAAGGATAGCAAGAGATTAATAATAATGAAATAGAACAATGATAACATACTGTAATAAAAGTTATGTAAATGTGGTTGGTGTCTCTTGCTCTCAAAATACCTTCTTGTACAGTACTCACCTATTTTAGAATGTGATTGACTGCAGGTAACTGAAACAATAGAAAGGGAAACTTTGGATGAGGGGGCACTACTGTACTTAGAAATACAACTCTCTATATATGATTTTATTTGTAAGACCATACTGTATTTAGGTATCTACCAATATTTTGTATAAAGAAATTTTTTGTTCCATTATATGACTTTTTATTTTATTGTATATATAATCTGACACACAATTAAGGGTAAAGTTGCTTCCCCAAGGCACACTTTTAATTAAAACCTAGAATCATTTGCAGTCCCTGTTAAAAATGCACTCTTCTAGCTCTTCTAGAATCCTTTGAAGTTCTGATTAAATAAATGTATTGGAAACCCCCCCAAAAAATTGTAAAGATATTCTTGTTAATGTTAACACCAATAGCTAGAAGATAATAATTTAAATGTTGCTAGCATAAAGAAAACATAAATATTTAAGGTGATAGAAATCCCAATTACCTTAATTTGATTATGTAACAGTATCAAATTATCAAAAATAACCCAAATATATGTACATGTATTATGTATCAATTAAATATATGTATATATATACATACATGTATATATATACATATATGTGTATATGTATATATATATATAATATTTTTTTAAATGGTACTTTAGATTCTGAGGTACATGTGCAGATCATGCAGAATTGTTGCATACGTACATACATAACAATGTGGTTTGCTGCCTCCATCCCCCATCTGTGACCTATATCTGGCATTTCTCCCCATGTTATCCCTCCACAACCTCCCTACTCCCCACTGTTCCTTCCCTATTCCCCCCCAGTAGACCCCAGTGTGTGATGCTCCCCTCCTTGTGTCCATATGTTCTCATTGTTCAACAGCCACCTAGAGTGAGAACATGTGGTATTTGATGTTCTGTTCTTGCATCAGTTTGCTGAGAATGATGGTTTTCCAGATTCATCCATGTTCCCACAAAGGACATAACTCATTGTTTTTTATGCTGCATAGTATTCAATTGTGTATATGTGCCACATTTTCCTTGTCCAGTTTATTGTCAATGGGTGTTTGTGTTGGTTCCAGGTCTTTGCTATTATAAACAGTGCCATGATGAACATACGTGTGCATGTGTCTTTATAATAGAGAATGATTTATAATCCTTTGAGTATATACCCGGTAATGAGATTGCTGGGTCTAATGGAATTTCTGTTTCTAGGTCCTTGAGGAATTGCCACACTGTCTTCCACTATGGTTGCACTAATGTACACTCCCACCAACAGTGTAAAAGTGTTCCTATTTCTCCACATCCTCTCCAGCATCTGTTGTCTTCAGATTTTTTAATGATTTCATTCTAACTGGTGTGAGATGGTATCTCAATGTGGTTTTGATTTACATTTCTCTAATGACCAGTGATGATGGACTTTTAAAAATATATTTGTTGGCCTTATATATGTCTTCTTTTGTAAAGTGTCTGTTCATGTCCTTTGCCCACTTTTGAATGAGTTTGTGTGTTTTTTTCTTGTAAATCTGTTTTAGTTCTTTGTAGATTCTGGATATTAGCCCTTTGTCAGATGGGTAGATTGCAAAATTTTTTCCCATTCTGTTGGTTGCTGGTTCACTTTATGTGATTGTTTCTTTTGCTGTGCAGAAGCTCTGGAATTTAATTCAATCCCATTTGTCTATTTTGGCCTTTGTTGCCAATGCTTTTGGTGTTTTAGTCATGAAGTCCTTGCCTGTGGCACTAATTATTCTTTAAATGTTTGGTAGAATTCAGCAGTGAAGCCATTGGGCTTTTATTACTATGAGACTTTTTGGTATGGCTTTGATCTTGCTACTTGTTATTGATCTGTTCAGGTTTTAGATTTCTTCAAGATTCAATCTTTATATACGATAAAGGTTTATGTGTCTAGGAATTTATCCATTTCCTTTAGATTTTCCAATTTATGGGCATTTAGTTGCTTATAGTAGCCACTAATTATCCTTTGAATTTCTGTAGTATCAGTTGTAATGTTTCCTTTTTCATCTCTGATTTAATTTATTTGGGTCTTACCCTTTTTTTCATCAGTCTGGCTAAAGGTTTGTCATTTTTGTTTATCTTTTCAAAAAACCAGGTTTTTGCTTTGTTGATCTTCTGTATTGTTTTCTTCATTTCAATTTTATCTATTTCTGTTGTGCTCTTTATTTTATCTTTTCTTCTGCTAATTTTGGGTTTGTTTTACTCTTGCTTTTCTAGTTCTTTAAGATGCATTGTTAGGTTATTTATTTGAAGCTTTTCTTCTTTCTTGAAGTTAGCACTTATAGCTCTAAATTTCCCTTTTAGAGTTGTTTTGCTATATCCCATAGGTTTTTGTTTGTTGGGTTTCCATCATCATGTGTTTCAAGAAATTTTTCAATTTTCTTCTTAATTTCTTCCCTGACCCACTGGTCATTCAGGAGCATATTGTTTAATTTCCAAAATCCCTCTTGTTGTTGATTTCTAGTTTTATTCCATTGTGGTCAGAGAAGATGCTTGATACTATTTCAATTATTTTGATATTGTAAGACTTATTTTGTGGCATAACATATGGTCTATCTTTGAGAATAATCCATGTGTGAAAGAGAAGAATGTATATTCTGCAGCATCTGGAGGAAATGTTTTGTAAATATGTATTAGGTCCACTTGTTCTATAAAGCAGACAAAGTCTACTGTTTCTTTGTTGAATTTGTGTCTGGGAAATCTGTTTAATGCTGAAAGTGGGGTGTTAGAGTCTCCAGCTATTATTGTATCGAAGGTCTGTCTCTCTAGCTCTAATGTCTGCTTTATATATCTGAGTGCTCCAGTTTGGGTGCATATATATTTATGATTGTTATATTCTATTGCTGGACTGACCTTTTTATCGTTATATAATGACCTTCTTTGTCACTTCTTACAGTTTTTTGTCTGAAAATCTATTTGCCTAAGTATAGCTACTCCTGCTTTTTTTCTGGTTTCTCTTTGTATGGAATGTCTTTTGCATCCCTTTATTTTCAGTCTTTTCAGTCTATTTGCATCTTTATAGATGAAGTGTGTTTTTTGCAAGCAACAGATCATTGGGTCTTGTTTTTTAATCAATTTAACTGCCCTATGTCTTTTGATTGGAGAGTTTAATTCATTTACATTCAATGTTACTATTGATAAGTAGGAATTTCTGCCATTTTGTTGTTTGTTTTCTGGTTGTTTTGTGGTCTTTCTGTTTTCCTTTTAGGGAAGGTGATTTTCTCTGGTAGTATGATTTAATTTGTTGCTTTTAATTTTTTTGTGTTTTTATTGTATGTTTATTTGGCTTGAGGTAACCATTAGGCTTGCAAATACTATAAAATTTATTTTTTTAACCTGAGTTGACTTAGCAATGTTTGTTTACAATTGCATAAAGAAACACATAAAAAGAAAACTAATAAAAACTCTACAAATTAGCTTCATCCTCCTGCTTTTAAACTTTTTGTCATTTCTTTTTATGTTTTATTATACTATGTCTTGAAATGTCATTGTATTATTATTTTTGATTGGTTTATCACTTAGTATTTATATTTAAGACAAGAGTAGTTTACACATAACAATTACAGTATAATACTAGTCTGTGTTTTTCATTACTATTACCAACAAGTCTTCAGATGATTTCTACTTGGTCATTAACATCCATTTTTTTCTTTTTTGGATTGAAGAACTCCCTTTATCATTGATTGTAGGACAGGTCTGGTGATGATACCCCTCAACTTTTGTTTGGGAAGGTCTTTATTTTTCCTTTATGTTTGAAGGATATTTTCATGAAATATACTATCTTAGTGTAAAAGTTTTTTCCTTCAGCACTTTGAATATGTCATGCCTCTTTCCCCAGACCTGTAAGGTTTCCACTGAAAAGTCTGCTGTGAGGTTTATTGGAGTTTCATTGTATGTTATTTGTTTCTTTTCTCTTGCTGCTTTTAGAATGTTTTCTTTATCCTTGACCTTTGGGAGTTTGATTATATAATGCCTTAAGGTAGTCTTCTTTGGGATAAATCTTAGCATTACATAACCTCCTTGTACTTGAATGTTGATATCTTTCTCTAAGTTTGGAAAGTTCTCTGATATTATCCCTTTGAATAAACTTCTACCCTTTCTCTTTCTCTACCTTCTCTTTAAGGCCAATACATCTCAGATTTACTCTTTTGAGACTATTTTCTAGATCTTGTAGGCATGCTTCATTGTTTGTTATTCCTTTTTCTTTTGTCTCCTCTGACTATGAATTTTCAAATAGTTTGTTTTTAAGCTCATGAATTATTTCTTCTGATTGATCAATTCTGCTATTAAGAGATTCTGATAAATTCTTCAGTATTTCAACTGCATTTTTTCAATACTGGAATTTCTGCTTGATTCTTTTTAATTATTTAATTCTCTGTTAACCTTATCTGATAGAATTCTGAATTGCTTCTTTTTATTATCTTGAATTTATTTGAATTTCCTCAACACACAGCTATTTTGAATTATCTCTCTGAAATGTCACATGTCTCTGTTTCTTCAGGATTTATTCTTTGTGCCTTATTTAGTTCATTTAGTGAGGTTATGTTTTCCTGGATGGTCTTGATGCTTGTAGATATTCTTCAGTCTATGGGCATTGAAGAGTTGAATATTTATTTTAGTCTTTGCAATCTGAGCTTGTTTGTGCCCAACCTTCTTGAGAAGGCTTTCCAGGTATTAAAAAAAAACTTGGGCCCCAAGTCCAATATCTCTGTGTTTTTTGAAGACTTGTAGAGGT